GCTGTGCACTTGCAACCACAATATTGCAATCAAATTTTAGGATTAAAAGTGATCGTCTGATTCCAGGAGACAGTTATTTACCTTGCAGGTGCTGGATTGCTGCTGAATGATTAGAAGCCAAAGGCTCAATTCCTTCCATTACAGTGCAGGGTAGTGGTTACCAACGTAGGCTCGAGTCACACAAGCTTGATGCGAAAAATACAGCTCCACTATTACCGGCTGTGCAAAGTTGCTAGTTATCCAATCACTCAGGATCTCAGTTTCCTCATCTGTTAAGCAGGCATAACAGTGCCTGTCTTATTTTGGTTGTTGGGACGATTACATTTGATAATGCATGTAAAGCACTTGGCACAGTGCCTGGCACACAGTAAATGCTCAAAGAATGTTAACTGTCCATCTCATATCTATGAATGTCCAAAAATGTGCTGTTGGGTATCACCATGGTCCTTGTGTGTTCTATAAATTTCTACATCTCATAGTCATACCTACTAAAGTCACTCTGTGTGTGGGTGTGCAGATAATCTGCAACCTTATGATTGCAAACTAAGTAAAGCTGTTATAAAATGCTCTTAAGACTACTTTCTCAAGTCATGACTATAGACATTCTGAAGTGTTCAAGATCATGTTTCTTTTATATTAAGGGCCCATACACTATTCAAAATTGAAAAGCACTGCTTTATTCTATAGCCATATCTTCATTATTAGCTAAAACCCAAGTAATCAAGTTTTCTATCTCTTTTTTTCAGGGAAAGACAACACTTGATAAGGTGTTTTGCCAAAAGCAACATTTGGGAATATGCTGGGCTGGACACATGCTTAATGCAACCACTTCCATCTTCCATATTTACATCTCCAGAATATCAAATGACAATGGGCATGCAAAATAAGTCTTACAAGATTTCCAAAGATTCAAACACACTCGTTTTCCAGGGCAGGAAATGGGCTTTTGTCTCTAAGAATTTTTCTATCATCTAAGCACTGTAGTTATTTTGTTCATACAGGCTGGGTGCTGGATGACCAGTCGATAAAATTGCTCAGGACACCAAGTCGACCGGAAGCAGAGGGCTAAAAAGGCAGGATCATGAAAAGACAGAGTCCTGAATTCCTCCTTCACCTTTGGAAAAGCTCATGTGTCTGAGCTTCAATTTCATCCATATCATGGAGAGATGATGGTACCCATATCGTAGGACTGGTTCAGATGAATTAACACACTATGAAACAAACTGCTATGTAAACCCCAAAGCACCATACAATTGAGAGAAATCCCATTAAATAGTCCGCTTAAGTTGGGGCGGGGGGGGGGGGGTCTCCTCATTCTCTACCACCTACCCGGACGTGCACACATCTGTCTCAGTATCGCCCTGGTTGTTCTTGTCTTCTTCCATCCTCCAGCCTGTGATGGTTTTTCCTTTCCCCTCAACAACCTACCACACTTTCCCTGGGATGGGCCACACATTGCCAACTTTCTATGACACAGAAAACTTGAAATCAGTTTAAAAATTGATTACACACACACACACACACGCACACACACACATCTGCTACTGAGATATTCTGACAAATGTGAAAATTTAAGAAATCTCTTTAACACCAAAGCTAACATCATCAAGTGTTTATTTTAAAAAATAATGGCACCTGCTTTGAATTCACTGGTGACACCACAATCTGGTGAAGATCTACAGAGAATTTACAACTTTAGGCTGACGTGAAATTATATAGTGTGCCACAAAATGGGAATTCTGCAATAGACTTCACAGACATCACAATGAACACCTCTAGTTTCTACTCTCAGAGTTGCTCTAACTCCTGCCTAAACATATCCTTAAACACAGAGCACATTTTACGGAAACATTTCTCTTAGGACAAACACAGCAGACATGCTTTAAATAAATTAAAACTGCAACACGTAAATCATTCCTGAAACAATCAAGGTACACTACTTCTGAGCTTCTTACAATTGTACTGAGTTAAACAAAAAAAAAATGTAGTTTTGATTTTATATCTTATGGGTTACCAAGCTCTTGTTAACTGTACATTTTTTTTAAGCTTCTTAACTGGTATGGATGTATTCTTTTCAAAGTGATTTATCTTTGGACCAATTCCTTCCTTAGCACATGTGCTAACGTCTACTTGAAACACCTCTTTCCAGATAAAGCCTTGAATTTTAAATGTCATTTCTTCCTACCCCTAGCTCGCTCCCTAAAATTATATAGGCAAAGTAGTTTTTAATCACACATATTCATAAGTATGTTTAAATGTTTTTCCAAGCCAATTATATTTGAATTCAATTTTAGAAAAAGTCCCCATTCAATGCAAAATAATTTGGTATTTTAAAGTGAACCAAAAAGGACAAAAGTAATTAGTTGCCTGAGGGAAGCTAGTTCTAGTAACTGTTATTGAACTCATAATTAAACCTGATATGGAGAAATGGCAAGGCAGTAAACATTGTAGTGAGGGCAATATTTAAGTGAAAACCAAAGTGACAAAGCAGGAGATGGGCTAAAATCACATGAATGCTGACAGAGAAGGACAATAGTATCATGGACTGAAACGAAAAGAGGAGGCGTTTCAGAAGACTACAGTCTATCAATAGGTCATGGTGCTCATGTAAGCAAAACCATCAACGTTGCTTGCCAGAATCTTGAGACTAATTGTACTTTCACTATCCAAAATCAGAAATGAAGTGCTTTAGTTACTGCTTCATTGTGGGTTTGATTTTTTTTTTTTTTTTTTTCAGAGAGGGGGTTGTTTTATTCTGGCTTAATCATACTCAAAATATGAGCTGAAGTAATCAATTCAAAACCCACAGAAGAGCATTTTTTGGCTTTTGTTTTGTCCTCAGGAAACTATCATTATCCTGGTGATCATGAAAATAATACGTCACCAAAAAAAAGTGCTGGAATTTAATGTCCAGCATCTTAAATCACTTTGTAATGATCACTGAGTGACAGGTGATAACCTACCTGTTATGGTTTGAATTGTGTTCCTGGTACCTGTCGATGTGACCTTACTTGAAGAAGGGTCTGTGCAGACGTAATTTGTTAACATGAGGTCATACTGGAGTAGGATGGGCCCCAAACCAACATGACCGGTGTCCTTGTAAGAAGAGGAGACACAGATGTAGACATACAGAGGGAAGATGACCACATGAAGAAGGCAGAGACTGGAGTTATATTTTTTTCCACAAGCCAAGGAATACCTGGGGCAACCAGAAGCTAGAAGAGATAAAAGTCTCCCCTAGAGCCTTCTGAGAGAGCACGGCCCTGCTGTCACCTTGATTTTGGACTTCTAGCCTCTTGGACATGTTATCAGGAGGGACCAGTCCCTGGAGAAGGACATTATGCTTGGTAAAGTAGCTGGTCAGTGAAAAAGAGGAAGATCCTTAACGAGATGGATTGACACAGTGGCGGCAACAATGGGCACAAACATAACAACAATTGTAAGGATGGCACAGGACCAGGCAGTGTTTTGTTTTGTTGTACACAGGGTTGCTATGAGTGGGAACCAACTCGATGGCACCCAACAACAGCCTCTAGAACCTCACAATAAATTTCAGTTTGTGGTATTTTGTTACAGCAGCCCTACGAAACTCATACTACTAGTTTTCACCTTTAGGAATGCACTAGATGTTTCGTACAAATGACAGGGTGGGAAAAAGATTAGTTGATTTAAATGTAAATTAAATATCCAATTTCAGAATATGTCATAGCTATACCATTATTTTTAAATTGCGTATTTACAAAGCTTTTATTTAATCTCCTTACACAGTGAAGAGATAACAAGCAGCAGGCAGGTATTTTCCTTGAGAATAATAAACTGCAAAGAATAAAAGATAAAGCTACCTTAGAGTATGTATCATCTCGTTAAAAAGCTTCATCAACTTTCAGTAAGACTCAAATAAATATGGTGTGTAGGTTGAGCATACTCAAGTGAAAATATGGTTATTGACATCTAAGGAGCGTCACTGGATATAAGAAGTTTTAAAAAGGAGTCGATGATTAAGTGGGATGCCTTAGACCTTACAGTGTTTCAGGGTAAAATAGAGCCAATTTCTACCAAGTTCTGTTAACAGCTCCAGATTGGGGAGGGCACTGTGTGCTGCTTTCCATTTCTTCTCTACTTCTTTCAGTGGGGGAGAAGACACACTGATCACAGGTCTGAGAAGTGCCAATAAAAGCACTTGCTAGACTGAGTGACCGGGTGGAGTTGTGGTGATGTGAGAATGAAGCCCAGGTCTTTTTGGATCCTCACAGAGTCTCACTCACTCTTTCTAAACTAACAGCAGAATCTACACCCATATCTACCCTTGGCATGTCTAAAGTGTCTCTCAGAAAGGTTTATAGATATTAAGAGGAGCCCACCCAGGATTCAGCTTGATTAAGTTACACCAAACCCTTAGCCCACATGATGACCACAGGTGAAGGGGAACACTTGCCAAACGAAGCACATCATTCTTCTCCCTCCCTTATCAGTCCCCAGGTTTGATGGGTCACAGCATATATATAGCTAGCTTGGGCAGCCAAGCAGGAGTTCTGACAAGGAGTCATAGCCATGAGATGGGGGTGGGACTACTAACTCCCTCTTCTCTGAAGCAAAAATAATTTATAACCAAAGATTTCATAGAAATTGTTTATTGTTTTAAAAAGCTTGAGTCTGGAATTATATAGTGGTGACAGTTGCACAAATTTGTGAATATATTAAAAACCACTGGATTGTACACTTAAAAAAAAGAAAGCTTTAGTTGTATGAATCTCAGGCACACCCAGTGTATTACCTGCTAAACTCTTCTATTCTCTCAAATCATGGCACACTCTGTCACATTTTTTTCAGATTTCCTTAAGAGCAGCTGTTCGCAAGATATTGCACTTAATTTAAATCCAGGCAATTTGATGTTTTCTGGAGGGAAATGTACACTCACATGCCTCTGTACGCCTCCAGAGAACAGAGGAACAGTAGGAGAAGGGGCTGAACAGCACAGTTTCCATTGAATCTTCTGTGTCTTTTTTTTTTTTTTTTTTGTTATGTAGGCAGAGAAACATATGTAAAAGAAACTATCTTCTGGGATGAAGACAGTGACTGGCATTCCCAGAACAGGCCAAAGATGTTAACTTTTGGATGCTTTCACCTCAGCCAAGTGCGGCCATCCTATCACCTCAGAACTTATTTTCAGTCAGATCCTAAGAGACAGATGGCAGCCTTGGTTCAAACACTAGATTTAGTTTATTCTCGCTGGTCTTTCACTTCCCTAAGAGGATCCTCTCCACCTTCCTCCAGGTGAACTACTCCCACTAATCCAGCTGCCATCCAATTGGGCCAGATGTCATATTTTCTTCATGCTTCCAGTATTGACTATCTCAGTGTACTTTATGAACTATGGTTTTGTTGTTCTTGTTAAAGAAAAAGGGAAAAAAAACCCAACAGGAGTGTCATTTGTTTTCATTTACCAGAGTAAGTTTTGCAATCCCTCACAGACCTGTGAATAAAGTGAATCACAAGGAGTGAATCACATCCTCAAGGAGGATTTATCACAATTAAGATTTGCCAAAACGCAAACCTCTGGAGTAGTCCTTACAGGACCCAAAATTAATGTTAAAGCTGTGGTTTTATGAGGGAGTTGGCAGCATTTTGGCATGCTTTTGGAGGCAGGCCATTCACTAGCCAGTTAAGATAAAGTCAGGAGTGCGGTTCCCTGGGTATAAGAAGGGGGAAGCCCCATTCATAAATCCCTGTGTCTTGCCATTTAAAGTGCAGCAGAAGCCCTGTTGGATAAACAGGTGTGTTATAAGATTTCCATGTTACACAGAGTCACACACAGTTGACCACTGTGGACAGTGGGTACATAATGGAATCTACAGTCTTCTGTGGACAAATGGAATGGATTATATAGGGGATGGATTATATAGGGATTTACTGCAGTGTTCAACATTGCCAACTCCTATGTTTCTTCATTCTCCCAAGTCATGCCATGTGCTTGCTGCTTACAGGACTCAGGGAAAATACAATCACCAGCAGTAGTGAAGCTAAGTTTTGATAGAGATTTAAAAGAGAAAGAGATTTAAAATCCCTTTTTCTTCTGGGTCACTAATTGTGCCAATTGCTCAATAACAGAGGTTTACCATGCTGGGCTAGTCAGGTGAGCAGGAAATCTGGTCTGATTAAGGCAGTGAGCAATGTGGGGAGAACTCAGGAACAGATTCACATTAACCAAATACAGGAAATGAATTGGCAGCTGCTACTGACTTAGACAATAATAGTTATATACACCACACAGCCCCAGTCCTTCTTGTAATCTTCAGTTGGCACAACCATTAATTTTAAAATTTGGTAGTATGCACAAAGTTTTCTCTAAAATGAAAACTTGAAAGAACTTGGAGACAAGAACAAGTGGCTTCATCTTGGTATTATTTTCCTTTCTATGGCACACAAAATAGGGTCCCAGTTTTTACAAAATATTGCAAGGAGAGTCACGGCAAAGAAGGTGCCAAGAATGTGGAAGCGGCTCCTCATCATGGGTGAGACAAACCTTGCAAGAGTCGACACACAGACTAAGATAACAGTCATGAAGGCCAGGATCACATTTATGCACTTCCCCAGGAGAACTTTGGCATTCACGGCGTCTGTTTGCAGGACTTGCTGCTCCTGCTGGTGGAGCTCCAGCTTAGAAATGCGAGTCTGGCAGGATTCCAAGGCTTCCTGTGGGCAAGAGAGACAGTGAGGATCAAAAGCTGTTGAGATCATGGGTGGAATGTGGCACAGGCTCAGACGTGCACAAAAGCCCCCAAGCTCAGAATGCCTAATGCCTAGGCAGCTTCAAATCCTCCAACTCATGCTGATGATGATGATAGGCAAGGAAGTGATAAAAGAACCCAAGGTTCATTTTATCCTATTATTCATGGATACAATGAACATGTGTAGACAACCATAAAACACTATAAATGAAGAATTATGGTTATTATCATTTTTTTAAATATTGGCAACTGTTGGTACCATGGGGCTGGGGGAGGCCCAAACCCAAGAAACGATGGTGTTTTGTTTTGTGACAGCTGAATACTCTACCTTCAGCCATGGAGAGGGTGTGTCTTCAATTGCTAGTCCTTATTTCTTCTGCTCAAGTCCCTGGGTGGTGCAAGTAGTTTGCACTTGTCTACTAACCTAAAGGCTGGTGGTTCAAACCCACCCAGTGGCACTGTGGAAGAAAGGCCTGGTGATATGCTTCCATAAAGATTACAGCTAAGAAAACCCTATGGAATAGTTCTACTCTGTAGCAAATGGGGTCACCATGAGTCAGAATCAACGGCAATGGTTTTTTTTTTTTTAACTTTTCACTAGTCAGAGTTTATGTGCGTCCATTTACAGACTAGTGGAGAATGGAGAGAGAAGGGAGACGGGAGGAGACAGGGATGACCAAGGTGAGGCAACTATACTTTTGCCAGCTCTTTGATACTACCCTAATTAAGGTACATACTTACTGTAGATCTTATTCACTCCAAGGCTTCAATTACTAAGACAGAGATGACTCCCAAGTATCTCCCTAGCCTGGCTGTCTTCTGAGATCAAGTCATAAATCCATGCCTCCTTGACATCTCCATTTGAGCTTCTTAAAAGCACCTCAAATTGAACATGTCCAAATATGGATTATGTATCATACTTCCCCCTTAATCAATCAACCATGTTTCCCCTCTGCTGTTCCTTTCTCAGAAACCATCACCATGATCCACCAAGTTCCTCATACCAGAAGACTGTAAGGCATCCCGATACCCCCTCATCTAATCCATCACCCAGCCCTGTTGATGCCACAGCCAATATCTATCTCAATTAGCCCACTTCTCTCTCCTCCCATGGCCACCACCCAGTCTAAGTCACCACTTGTCTGCAATAACCTTACACTATTTTCTCTACACATCCTCTTGTTCTCCCACTCCATGAATCCATTTTCCACACAGCAGTCCAAGTGCTCTTTTAAAGATGCACATTTGATGTCATTTTCTTAAGACCTTTCAAATCCATAACATGGCCCTTCGAGGCCTGGCATGATCCAGACCTAGCCTCATTTAATGCCAGCCCCCTTGTCACCACGCTGACCATATTGGCCTTTTCCTATTTCTGCAAAGCAGCATCTATCTACCTCATGGCCTGAATGTTCATGCAGTATACTCTGCCTGAAATGTTCACCTTCCTACTCTCTCCCCTCTTTAGTGGTGGATCTCCTAGTCATCTTTCTGATCACATCAGGACTGTTACTTCTGGGGGAAGCCTTCTGTGACCCATCAGACTAGGCCAAGTCTCCCTCTGGCCTTCCTCCCCCAACGCGAGGCCATAAGCTGTGTGAGGGGAGGGACTAGGCCCATCTTGCTGTGCTGCTGTTGTCTCTGCAGAGAGCCTAATGCCAGGCACACAGCAGGTGCCACACATCTGTTGAATTTTTGAAGAGGCTGGGTGCCAGTATTAGGATGTGAGGCTGTGAGCAAAAAACATCTATCCTTTTTGGGAGAAAAATACCTGATCAGAGGCAATACAATGTGCCCCTTTAGTTCACTACTCTGTTATCTAACTCATTTACCAATATACATTCACTCAATTAAGATGCAATCATCTTTTAAAGGTTTTAAACAAGCATAATGCCTCCAACAATAATCTGCTTTGCTTCTGCTGAATATACTCTACCGGCCAAAGGAAAGGGCTCTCTGTTGCTATAGTAACTTTCATTACACTAGGCTTCCAATAAGAAAAGGTAAAACTTCCTTAGATCCTCGCATCCTAAAACGTGCTGGCTTTCTTGGGCACGTTATAAACCTACTATATAACAGGCACATGCCCCAGAGATCGTAAATTCTTTTCAACCACTTGGGGTGAAGCTTTCCTCTATTTTAGGCATGAGGAAAAGACGATAGAGCAAAACAAAAAAGGAATTATCAATTAATTATTCAAATTCATTAATCTACTACTAAACCAAACCAAACCCATTGCCATCGATTCCGACTCATAGTGGCCCTATGGGACAGAGCAGAACTGTCCCACAGGGTTTCCAAGGAGTGGCTGGTAGATTCGAACTGTCGACCTTTTAGTTAGCAGTCGAGCTCTTAACCACTGCGCCACCATGGCTCCAACTGATGAATTACATGTACAAATGGACTGATCTTAGAATTGCCTTGGAACTGTCATCACATTTTTGCCAAAAAGTAAAATCCAAGAAAATTAAGCACTGAACTGCAAGGGATTTTAGTCATGGCATCAAGAGATATTCAGTCTCAGAATCTTTTGTGCTTCCTCAGGCCCAGTATTTAACATACTGAGGATGAGGATAGAGGGAGTATCTTCAAACATTTTTAATTGGGAATTCAGAATTAAAACAAAAAACAAAACTCAACTGCTTAAAACATCGACAAAACTCCTGCATCCCTGTAGAAAACAGCCACTTTCACTCACCCTAGCCCATCCCCTTGGTACAACCCTGACTGTAAGAGAAAAAGAAATAAGAAATAAGAAATAAGATGAAGTTGAGCTGGCCAAACTGCCAGAAGCCCTGAAGAATATAGTTACTCAACAGTACAATAAAAAGATGAACATTTGTTGACTGCTTATTATGTGTCAGGCAAAGAGTTTAATACTTTACACATATTATCCCATCTAACCCCCTCAACAACCTTTTGAGGTAGAGCTCATTAATATTTCCATTTTGTAGATGAGGAGACTGAGGCACAGGGAGCTTACTTGTCCAGGGTCCAGGGTCACACAAAGAGTAAGTGGTAAAGCCAGGATTCTAACCATTATAATTTAAGTCTCTTACACAGATGTTATCTTTGATAAAAAAGTCACTTACACAGATGTTATCTTTGCACTTCTGAGCTAGAGTGAAACTAGAAAATGTTGAAATGAACATTTGAATTTTTAAGTTCCCTTTGTGAAGTTCCTTCCTTCATCTGACCCCTTCACCCTTAACATATGTTTCTTAAAAGGGAAGAACAATATTAACCCAAACTATCCCTCAAATAAGAAAACTAACTTTGAGCCATGAACTCATGGCCATATGACCCGGTGATGTCTCAGACATGTTCTAAACTAGAATGACCTAAGACACTGTCTGTACTGGTCACCAAACAACACTTCACAGACAAATGGATTCAAGCTTTTCAAACTAGCCTGTGGTTTGCTAAGTCTCCTAGCCCAGAGCAGGGCCAGGAATCTCCCAAGTGTCTTCTGTTCCAAAGGAAGGTCAGTGATCTCTGGAGGCAATCTCTCCTACCATCTCTGATGCTCTAGCTCCCAGAACTGTCCCATCTGGGTTTAGCACAGGGCCAGCCTGGGATGGAGTGGAATAAAACAGAGGCAGCTGGGACTCCAGCTCATACATTGTAGGAAAAATCTCTACCTTTAGGTTTCAACTTTCTCCCTTGTAAAGCAGGGTCTGAGTGGCCAACAGCCTTTACAGAGCTGGAGAAAATAACTACTGCCTACAAAGAAAATTTGTAAAATTGAAGCTGAGCATTACTTGATGATTACACTCATTTGTTAAAAAATAATAATAATAGAAGGTGATTACATTACAGCATTAGTATCAAGAAATATCGGAACTTGCCTTTGTTTATACTAATCCAGGTATAATCCATCCACTTGGGTCCTACTTAACCCTTTAAGTACCAGCTTCTCCAGGACATTCATTCACATGCATTATCCAAGGACTTTTTGTGAGACCTTGGTTCAAGTCACTTAACATCTCTGTGCATCAGCCTCCACATCTGAGAAATGGGGACGATAGTTGGAACTACCTCACAGGGGTGTTGTGAGGAGTAAATGGGGAAAAAAAAGTATGTAAAGTGCTTTGTGTGTGCCTGACACACAGTATGCACTCAAATGCTTGAAATTCTTATGAAAATTAGAATATGAAAGCTATTATTTTGTAGATGAGCAAATAGACTCAAGGCTTGCTCAGGACCCCACAGCTAGTAAATGGCAGACCTGGGACTGGATTCCAATGTTTGACCACTAAATGACTGACTGACTCCCCACGGCAAAGCTTGCTAGGCACTGCAGGTCTGAATTTCTGTGGCTTTCAAAGTCTGTGGCATATAATTTGGCACTTGTTTATGTTGTCTTGAGCTGGTTGAGCTACTCCTGACTCCCAGCTAGGCAGCAAGCTTACTGAAGGCAAGGTTTGTCTCATACTCTTAAATTTTTTAAAATTTTAGTGGTGGTGGGGAAAGCAGAGTATAAGTGATGGGCTTGGGATAGATAATAAATTTATTAATTGATTAAAGTGGAAAATACACAGTCTAGCCTATTTATATAACATCTATAACATGAGCTAACGGTGGAGAAGAAATGTTTGTGCAGAGAAAACATTTTGCCCTCTGTGCCAGAAATCCTTTAGGGTTTAAGGGTGATTCACTTAGTTTGTTCAATGAATTCAAGCCTGGGAAGAGCCAGTGTGAATGTCAATCGTGAGAGAAACGGCACCTGGATATCCTGTGACCGCTCGTAGGCCTGGTAGGCCACCTTCTCCTCGATGCTGGCCAGCTCCTGTTTCAGGTTGGCTGTCTCGTGCTGATGCAGCTCCGTCAGGTCATGAAGCTGGTCTTCCAGTCGTTCGTACCTTTACAAAGAGAGGAGCCGATTTTGAGCGTGACATTTCAGAGGTCTTCAACCAGCACATCCTAGAATGGGTATCCTTTTTCTCTTACTGCCACCAGTGCCCCTTGGCTTGTTTTCATCCCCTGGCAGACTGCTCTCCCCGCCTCGCAAAAGAATAAGTCTAGCTGTGGGAAACACTTTTTTGGATTATTCTGAATCAAGGTGTGTAAAGGACTTGCAGTCTTAACTCTCTGTCCTGGCCGCTGAGGTCTCATACAAACCAAATCTGGCTTTTTCATCCATGTCAGACTAGCAGCTTCTCTGGTTGTGGTGAAGATAGGATGGACCTTGTCAGCTAATGCATTCAGCAGGGCCAGGGATGGGGCTGCCCTGCTCGAGGCAAGCACACACTGGCATCTGTGATGGCTTCTCCCTCTTCTACCCACCACAGTGCCTAGGGGTTCATGGCCAAGGTTCTCCCACACTACAGAGCCCATAATGGGAGAGCCATGCTTTTAGTACCAGCTTCTACTCTAGAGCCAATTCCACTGTTTCCAATGCATGCGCTCACAGTGAATACATTTTTCAGCTCTTGGAACTTAAGTGACAGTAAAAAAATATGCTTGTTACTAATTAAAGATGGCTTATCAGGTGGCATTTCTGAAAGTCCAAATCTAAAGTAACAGAAGTACAAAGGTTCCCATTCCCACCTCTACCCTCCCCCCCTTCAGAGGAGAGGGATTTGTCTTATATTTGAAACTTCACAATGTCTACTTTGAAAATGAAGTACAGTTTGGGGAAGATACATTAGCCCGCAATGACCTCTGTTAATGCTAGTTTCAGATGCTTATATAGGTCACCTGATGGAACTGTTAAAAAAAAAAAAAAAGGAGGCAAAATTATTTAATACATATTTAATGATTATTCTCAGTTATGACCTTATAGGGGTCAAATGTTGGTGGCAGTGTAAATAAGCTTTTTAAAGGTCTCTTAAGTAAGTAAAATAGTGGATGGCTGTATCACGGGAATCACAAATACTACTATAGGAGAGACAAAAGCAAAAACTGTCCTAAGTTTATGTAAATGTATACTTGTGACTTGGTATAAAATTTGTATTAAAAAAATGCTGTATCCCAAACTATTCAGATGGAATTAAAGTTAATATACTCTGGAAAATCTATGATGCGGAAAACAGTTCTTATGTGACAAAGACACCAAAGCCAAAGTTGCATAGGGTAAGTTAGAGACAACTGTTTCATAAAACAGGAGAGTTGGGAAAAGACATATTTCTAAATTAACATAAAGTCACACCAGATAAAAAGCAATGTGCAAGCTAAATTTGAAAGTTAAATGTTATGATGTGTAATAGGCATTTCACTATTTAGTTTACAATCTTAGAAGTTAACATATTCATTTTGACCAAAAAATTTTGAGGGGATGTTTTTACTGAGAAAATGGAGGAAAATCACATCATACTGGGGCATAGACACTAAAAAAAAAAAAAAGCTAGAAAGAAACACATAAAAGCCAGCCTTCAAAATAACCGACTTTTAAAATTAGCTAATATAACCTGCAAGATTTTAATTTATACTTTAATCTTAAGATTACTCTTGAAAGCACTTCATTTAGGGTGAAAAGCTTAAAGAGCAAAATACAGTATGTAAAAAATGCAGTATATAAAGACTTCAACACTGATGTATCAAATAAAATCTACCTTGTTAGATAATGAACTAGTCTTTTACTTGACGTAGTTATGGAGGGGAATCAAAAATATATCTATGAATTATTGAAGTGAGTCTTTAGAGCTCTACTGAATCAGGACCCTCAGATGCACACAGGTCATAGACTACATAGTGTATTCTGACAGACCCACACATATAATGGCTTTTCTAAATACTTAGCTATAAGTCACAAATTATAAAACTTCAAAGTCATGAAGTATGAAAAGAACACTTGATTCCCAAATGCCTTTTGATCCATGTCCATATTCATGGAAAACACAGTCATTAACATATCACTTTCAAGCAGACAATCTCTCTGTAGTTACTAACTTATGGTTCGAATAGAATATCAGTAGAATAATTAGAAATACCTGTATCTCTCCTCTTGCAGGGTCTGAGAAATAAAACCGTATTCTCTCTTAAACTGCACCTTCAGTGCCTCAATGTCCTCAGCCAGCTGTGCCTGGGTGTCCTTGATCTCCCTCAGTTCCTCCATGATCATGGGGAGTTTCCCCTGGCTGTCCAGCATGCTGGCCCCACCAGCCCCAAAGGACTGGTTCCCATTACTGTCAGCAGAGCCTGATGTGCCGCTCGAACACTCGTCATCGCTGCCGTATTTGGGCTTGTTGACAATGGTGGTGCTGCCCCCGTAGGCCCTCGCACTCGCGTCGGGCCTAAACTCCTCTAAGGAGGTTTTTAAGTGAGCGATGTTGTCAGCGCTGCCAAACTTATTCCGGATCAAGTTGGCAAATTCTCTGGACTTATTGAAAACAAACACAGGTGGCGTGAGGGATACCCCTGGCATGCCCGACTTACTGCTCTCCATGCTGTGGGGAGCAGTTCGAGATTTCGCATGGGCATCTTTCAGAGAGGGGTGCATGTCCTTCAGGTTGTCTTTGGAAACGTCCTTCGAGCTTCTGGAGGCTCCATTTTGTTCGATCTCCCTGAGCTTTCTGTGATACTGCTCTAACTTCTTCTGCAGCTGGGCAATGGAGTGTGCTGATTTCTGATTCTTCTTCTCAAAGACTTGTTTGATACGTCCAGCCTGCTGCTTGTCTGCACTGTTAACTAGTTTTAGATATTCTGCAACATTCCCATCACGAGAGGTTTGCTCAATTTTTATCTGCTCTGTTACCTTTAAAATTTTTTGCTTCAGGCTGTCTGTGTTGAGTTTGACCTTGTGAAAGTCCAGGATGCCATCTGGTACATCGAAGTTGAGGTTGGTGTCTGATCCCCCTCGGCGTATGTTCAGGGGCAGGCTCAAGGTATTCATGTCATGAGGTTCTACCTGAAAAAGGCAGGAAAGCAGTACTTTCAAATTTGAAATCAGGTACTTTAAAATTTGAAATCAGGTAGACTTACTGTGATAACATCTACATACACATAACAGACATACTTTAAGTCTCAGATTTCCAAACTGCCAAGTATTCACAGTACAAAAATTCCCTACTATCCTCTCAAGTTGAATGCTGGACAGCCCAACTCTTTCCTGCATCCGTGAATACTGACCGTCCGATTCAGATCTCCTACGGTATCCAATTTTCTAATTACATGGTAACTATTGGTTCCCAGGGTATAAAATGCGTTATACAAGGAGGTTACAAGTCAGTCTTAGTATCTCAAAATGCCCAGGTAACCGGGATGCCTGCCATGGCCCATTCACTGAGTTTCACCATCCTGAGAAAGGCATCTGATTCAGAATTCAATTATTTAACAGAAGAAGAATGGAAAACACACACACACACACACACACACACAAAGAAAGTGAAGTTCCAGCAGGTGCACCCATCAACACTAGAAAATTACTTCCTTAATGGACTCATTAAACAGATGTGATTGAATAAAAGGTGCAAGATTAATTTTAATGATTGAGTAATACAACCACAATATTTAGAAGTGAAAACAAACAACCCCAAACCATAACCACAGTAATTCTTTCTGTTAAATAGTGATAACACTAAGACCATGTGAAATAAGTGTCTTACTCACGGGCCACCTAGGGAAAAGAACTGCAAAGTAGCATTGAGCGCTCTGTGTGCCAGGCACTACTGAGGCTTCACATAAGTCATCTTGTTTGAGCCTCACCACCATGCCAGGAGCCTTGGTGGCACATTGGTTAAGAACTCGGTGGCTAAGTGAAAGGTCAGTGGTCAAAACCACCAGCTGCTGCTCTGCAGGAGAAAAGACTCAGCGATCTGTTCCCATAAAGATGACAGCCTCTGAAACCGTATGGGGCAGTTCTACTCTGTCCTGTACGGTCGCTGTGAATCGGAATTGACTTGATGGCACACAACACCACCACCACCACTGCACCAGGCAAAGGGTATGTTATGTCCATGTAACATGTAGAAACTGAGGTGTACAGAGCCAGGATTTGAATCCAAGTTACCCTAACTCTGGACCCTTTCCATGTCAAGACCCTCTACTGTTAGTGCTCTCAAAGGACTAGAAACAGGTCTTTGTAGAATCTGAACACAATCTCCAAACAAGATTCATAAAGTCTACACTGAAGCATCTTATTTGTTAAGTTAACCTTTTAATTTGAATAAAGCCTTGATATTGAGCCTCAAGAGAAATCAAGTGGGAGACAAAACAATAATCAGCACAAGTTACCTTTGTTTTTAGGGACTAGTAGGCTGACATAGGAGCCCTGGTGGCACAGTGGTTAAGAGCTCAGCTGCCAAGCAAAAGATCAGCAGTTCGAATCTACCAGCCACTCCTTGGAAACCCTATGGGGCAGTTCTACTCAGTCCTATAGGGTCACTATGAGTTAGAATCGACTCAATGGCAATGGCTTTTTGGTTTGGAGGCTGACATAGCAAAAAATTAGTAAGATATTAAAAGACCTCACACTTACTGAGTGAACCAAACTCGAACGTGGACCGTTTCCAACAATGAGTATCAACACTGCCATATGAAAAATTCTTCCTAGTGCTTTATCCCATCAGCACAGTGGGACATAACCCCAGGTCGGTAGGTCAGGTCTCTTTCACAACTTAAAGAAGTTTTTAACATTATTTCTTGGCCCTTCTCTTCCCACACATAATTTTTCTGTGACTAAGAGACTGTTTTATCTGGCAGAAGAGCACTGCACTGCAATGGAAATGCTGGAAAAAGATTAATGTCCAACCACTATATGACTAGAAAGCAGAATGTATGAAAAAAGGATAAAGGAATTGTAACTTCACCTGGTCAAGAGGGAAGACTACGTGTAGGGAATAAAGAAGGTGTATAATAATCATCCTCAAGTCTTAGAAGAATAACCACAGGAACCTCAAGGTAGCTATGTACCAATGTCTCACTACTAGACTCAAACAGAAACGGGTTCAAATTACAGCAACGAAGAATGTCCTATACCTAGAAAATGTTTATTTTGCACAGGAAAAAAAAACCCCAAAAGCCAAACCAGCTGTCCTTGAGTCAATTCTGACTCATGGCAACCCTGTGTGTTTCAGAGTAGAACTGTGTGCTCCATAAGGTTTTCATGACTGTGATCTTCCAGAAGCAGATCACCAGGCCTTTCTTCTGAGGTGCCTGTGGGTGAGTTTGAATTGCCAACCTTTTGGTGAGTAGCTGAGCACTTAACCATCTATGCCACCCAGAGACTCCTCTATTTTGGGGAGACAGGGTGATTAATCACTGTGGCTAGAAATGTGATCTCACTGGAGATACCAGGTTTGATCATGTTACTTTACTTTTCAGAAACTTTCTTTGGTTCCTTAATGCCTCTTAAATTATGTAATACTCCCACCCTAGCCACTGTAAGGCCCTAGCTTACCTTTCAGGCCTCATCTTGTCCTGGGAAGATACTATGCATCTTAAGTGAACCTTTCAACCCAAAGTTCCCATCAAGCATATGAGCTTTCTATGGATTTTCTCATATGTATGATATTCACATTGCCTTCACCCATTCATCTCTGCTTATCAAAATCCTACATATTCCATAAGATTCATTTCAAATGCCACTTTCTCTAAGAAGCCTTTATTTTCTGTGAACCTCCATTGTGCTTTGTATTTTTCTTGTGGCACTACTGTTTACCCCTCCTTTCATCACACTCATCGAGGTGATGTAAACTACAAGCTCCTTCAAGAGACAGATGGTGGCATATTCTTCCCTGTCCCCAGCTTGCAGTGCTAGCACTGCCCTTTGCTCACAGGAGGCTGTCAATAAATGTTTGCTGAACTAAAGTAACAGAATTCTTTATTCCAGGAGACTCTACAGTGGATCCATTCAAGATACATTTTAATAGAATCAAAAAATAACCTTATAAGTTTTGCCTATATAGACCTGACACTTCCAGGTAGAGATGTTTCCCAATATCTAGATAAACAATTCTGCATCATCTTAAACTGACTGAACTAAGTGAAGATTTTCTGAGTATCAACATGCGCCATGCCACAAGATACACAAATACGAATAAAGGTTTTTAAATGTTAATTGAAATATAATTTACACACAGAAAAGAACATATTTGATAAGCGTAAAGCTCAATGAATTTTCACAAACTGAACACACCGTGTAACCAGCACCCAGTAAAAGAAACAGAAGATCCCTGCGGACACCCCTCCAATCACAACTACATCGTCCTGCCCCCAAGGGTAACTATGATCCTGACTTCTAACAACATACATTAGTTTTTCCTGTTACATAAATATGCTCTTCTGTGTTTTTTGCTTAACTTTGTGAAATTCATAAGAACTGTTCTTGCCCTCCTGGAGCTCACATATAAAATCAGATTAAGTTATAAAAGCCTGCTTGATATTCTCTATGGAGAAGTCCATCATACCTTCTGAAGATATCAAACTTAGCAATAAGTCATCACCTGTTCTTCTTCCTTTAATTCTCAACCCCACCACAGCTGGCCATCCAGCTCTGTAGTCTCCATATAATCAGCTTCGCTCTCTTACTGCTGGTTCAGGACAACCTTGTACACACAGGAATGATGCTGCACAGGTGGCTGGCTGACTTTGGCTCACTTTAAAGTTGTAACAATGCTTGGCATGTCCCCTGGAGTCCAGGTTGGGGGGGAAGGAACAGAATTTACGGCTCAGATCAATCAATCTTGTGATTCATCAGCAAATCCCAGTTAAAAATGTTTGAGGAGGGCATAATATTGTTGGGTACACATTTTACGATTCTATCATTGCATGGATAATCAAGAGCCAGCTATACATACCATTATATGCCTGTAAATTTCCTCAACACAAAATGAAACGTGTATGTGTTAGGAAGAAGGAAGCCCTGGTGACACAGTGGTCAAACTCTTGGCTGCTAACCGAAAGGTCAGTGGTTCGAACCCACCAGCTGCTCCATGAAGATGTGGCAGTCTGCTTCCATAAAAGACTTACAGCCTTGGAAATGCTATGGAGCAGTTCTACTATCCTATAGGGTCACTATGAGTTGGAATCGACTTGACAAGCAATAGATTCGGTTTGGGTTTGATTAGGAAGAAAGTTATTAGTCCTCAAATCTTCATTTAATTTGGATGTGGCACTGAGGGTAGGTCCCCGGGTGATGCAAATGGTTTGCAATTGACTGCTAACTTAAAGGTTGGTGGTTCAAACCTACCTAACAGCACCATGGAAGAAAGGCCTGGCAATCTGCTTTGGTAAAGCTTACATGCAAGAAAGCCCTATGGAACAGTTCTACTCTGTAACACATAGGGTTGGTGTGAGTCAGAACTGACTTGACGGTAATGGCTTTGGTTTGGTTTTGGCACTGAGAGGAGCTATAAAGGGCTGCTTTGTTTCACAGTAGGACACGGGGGAGGAGGACAAAGGTTCATGGATCACCTGGAGTCAACGCGCATGTGGACTCTGAATCAGGAGATGTGTGCTCCAGTTTTGGGGCTGACAACGACTAGCTGTTCTTGGGTAAATCGAGTCACATCTGTGGGCTTCGACTTCCTAATACGTAAAACAAGGAGACATAACCAGATGATTTAGAGCTTTGTTGATGTTGTTAGGTGCTGTCCAGTCAATTCTGACTCACAGCGATCCCACGTCCAACAGAATGCAACACTGCCCGGTCCTGTGCCATCCTTATGATTGTTGTTATGCTTGTGCCCATTGTTTCAGCCACTGTGTTAATCCATCTCCTTGAGGGTCTTCCTCTTTTTTGCTGACCCTCTACTTTACCAAGCATGATGTCCTTCTCCAGGGACTGGTCCCTCCTGATAACATGTCCAAAGTTTGTGAGACGAAGTCTCACCATCCTCACTTCTAAGGAGCACTCTGGTCGTACTTCTGCCAAGACAGATTTGTTTGTTCTTGTGGCAGGCCGTGGTA